CCCTGGATTGCATTGAACCCCTCATTCCCAAATCCTTGTCCTTTCAGAATGATGTGCTTTGAATCTTAAGATTCACAAGGAAGATCTTATGAACAGTTTCCTAAAACTAAGAGACATAAGGTAACACGTGTTTTCAAGACCTGATTTGCAGCGGTGTGTAGTCTGTGCGGGCTTTTTGCAATATACCCAACGTAGGTTTAGCTTCACCCTTAGTAATAGAAGCTCACTGTTTGATTTGGAGACAGTCTTCCGCTTTCAACCCAACATACCTCAGCTTCTGGGGAGGTGTTTTTAGGGAAAAACATGAGTATGGAATGCTGTATGCATTACCCTGAGCTCCTAAGAAAAGGCAGGATATAAAGCTAATAAATAAATAATTAATATATAAAGATAGCTTTTAAAAGTTGTTTTTGTCATGCCACTGTTTTTAGCCAACAGTAGCAGATCACATCAGTTGTCCAAGTCTTTATTTGGCAAAAGCTTTGAGCAATCTCTACAGAGACATTAAGAACAATTGAGAGTGTAAGAGAGATGGTAGAATGGCAGAATGCATTAGAAGCAAGGTAGAAAATATTGAGGAAATTTCCTGGTAATATCCATAATTATGCAGTGGCAAAGATTATTTTCATAAGTATGGCATTTTAAATTAAGCATTCACCATCTGTTCTGCCCTTTAATTACAAACGCAAAAGGTGCAATAAATCATAGTTGAGCCATAAAAGAAATATTTGCTACAAGTGATTTACGTGTGTGTACCTCATTTATGTTAGGTACCATCTGGAGTGGCTGTGTAGGGCAGGTTTAAGGGAGAGTGAGTGCAGCTGCCGTAAGGCGGCTGCATTTGTTATTACTAACAATGTCTTCAAGTCAGCATTAGAAGCTTTAAAACAAAATGTTGTGTGGGGTTATGACACAGATGCATAAGACTTTATTGTATAATGATCATAATAGCGCTCCTTAAGCTGTATTTGATGCTCTGCAAAGTGTTCATAATTGTGTCAGTTTCACTGCATATATATAGGGGCGTTACATTGGTGAGAGAGAGAGAGCGCGCGCGAGCACGTTTGTGTTCTCTTTTTCTCTAAGGTGGCTTGTTTTCTGAAGTGGAACTCTATGAAAATAGGGTTAATTGAATGCTTTCCGTTGGATGCACTGCCCCCATGAGCCCACACACATATGCACACGCACACACAAGAATCTGTGCAGGAAGATTCCCTAATTCCTCCGAGAAGAATTGAAAGGGCTTCAGAGAAAGGTGAAATTGCCTACTTCTGCTGACAGAAGAGGTTCACTGGGTCCTCTGCAATATAATTATTCCAAGCTACTCTCACAAATGTCTTATTTATTAGCACTTTGTCTCTGCAGCCACGGTTTCTCTCTGCAGCTACTGTATGACCTCAGCTTTTTTGTAAGTAGTAGGTTTTTCATTAACATGCTGGAACATCAGTATGGCAAGTATATTTATGTCCAAGAAATGCCTTCTCATAAGTGAATAGTTTCTTTATAACTCATGATAGCACATATGCTTGGCTTCAACCTTGTTCTAAATGGCATTTTTATATCAAATATAAAAGCAATTCTACAATTCTTTTCTGAAACAAAAATCAGGGTGCTTACCAATGCAACAACACGGAATTGTCCTTTGAATTAACTTCCAGCAATCTGAAGATTCCTGATTTTAATCGATATACTGTGGAAATTTACAATGGAGAAAAAATTACAGTGCCTTTTGCCATTTTTGCTTAGCCCTTCCTTATAGTCCAAGCCCAGTCCCATCTTTCCAATTATACATAAGGCAGCCTCTTAATACAGTGTTAAGTTATATTAATAATTATTCAGCTTTTAGATAGTTAAGCATTATAATAATGCACAAGAAGTACTGCCATATCATACCTAAGAGACATTTAAAGAAGTATCTTGCTCAGGATCAGCGCCAGATTTTGTGGGCCCCTGGATATGATCCTCCTAATGGATCATCTTATGGTGCTGGTGTCCCCAATAGGAACTTTAGTTAGCAGAGAGCAGTGATCCTCATGGATAGGAGCCATACCAACCTATGCTGCCCACCTCTATTTGGTTACTCTAAGGTAACTGTACAGTACTGACATTATGGAGGGGCAATCCAAGATAATAGGTGGCCAGAGCAAAACTAAACTGAGTGCCATTCTGCTCCCATTCAGGACTGCTTCTATCCTCTAGGAAAGGCTGTTAAATGTTGAAGAATGTTTCTGTGCTATGCTGGCAGCAGTGTGTTGAGTAGGAGTAGGAGTCAGTTCGATGATCAGCTCCATGCTGGCTGCTACCTTAAGTTTCTCAAATGTGATTTGCATTGCACTGTCTGATCTCAACCAATGCCTCTGGGAAGAATAGGGGCAGGTTATAACAGTAATAACACTTTTCCATTTGTTTCTCTTTAATAAGTAAAATTCAGAAATAGTATATTCTTCCCAAATCTGTCTGTCTGTCTGTCTGTCACATTAAGAAAAGGCTCTGGAATTTTCATAGCATGTAATGGGCACTCTGCCAAAATAGTTGTCATGATATAGCTAATTTAAAAAACTATTTACTAGGGAAAAAAACCAGTGAGATTATTCTCTATCATCTTCTCAATCCTCCCAAAATGCTTTCTATCTTCTGAGCCTAAGGGTAGATGCACAACCTTCCAAGCATCAGACTGCAGCCATTGTTTTATTTTCTAGAAAATGCCTCTGGGGATCAGTGTGGGGTCTGGCCTAGGCAGACCTAGATTCAAGTCCACCCACAGCCATGGAACCTCACTGGATGATCTACGCCCAGTTGCTCTTTCTCAGTCCAGTCTACCTCATAGGGTGGTTGTTGTGGGGAAAAAGGAGAGTAGGAATGCTAATATATACTACCTTGAGCTGCTAGAGGAAAGCTAGCATATACATCTAATACACGCACACACATTTTATATCTATCTATCTGTCTGTCTATCTATCTCAGATTATTTTCAGTACTTTGCTTTGTATCATTCTGGCTACTCATTGTTTAGAACATTAAAAGTAAACAAATCCACTGAGTAGGGACCTGATGGGAACCAAAAGAGATGTAGGCAGTCACCAAGAGTATTACATTGGGCACCCTAGAAGTGAGAGAGAAAATTATGACTATAATGCACTCCTAAAACTAAAATAAATACATAATCCAAAAATTGAATCTGAAAAGTTGAAAAAACTCTACAGATAACTTCTAGTAGTCTATCAAGAGATCACATCCTCCGCGCTTCTTTCTGCTTAAAGTGTATTGGCATCATTTATTATAGATAGGAGGAATATGAGTTCCCTTTTACTCAACCCCTGAAACTCAGTTCAGAACACAGTTTTAGAGCCTCATAAACAAGTAATCTGATCAGCCTTCACAGATGATTAATGATGATGATGGAGGACAATGATAATTAGAATTATTTTGCTATATGATAAAATATTGAAAAAAATAATAATAATGTTTTATTGCATTCTGTTTTGCTGGAGATGTTTTTGTGAACCCAAAGCTCACCACAGTTTTCTTCACTAGCAAGATGAAAAAGCTATTATATCCAACTAAGTGGATTTTAATCATTTTCAAAGCAGGTATTTGTAATTTCCAGGTTAAGTTGTTTATGCCTGTTGAGTATATATATTATTAATTATTACTGTATTTATCATATTATTCTAAAAATGATACTTATTTGAAATGGAAGAGCTTGCCTTTATTCAGCTTGCATAGGTTGGAAGCGTACAGCCTAAACTTTTTAATCAAAATATTTTGTAATTTATTCCCTAGCCTAATTACCTATGTCTTCAAATATCTTAGTATTGTTACATGCATACTTTGAGAGGAAAAGAAAACACAGTAAAAGTGGGGAAACTGTGGCCTTCCACATAGTAGTGAACTATAGTTCCCAGATTTCTTTATTATTGGCTGTGATGAGTGAGGCTGCTGGGATTTGTAGTCTGAAAACATTTGGAGATCCACGGGCTCTTGATCACAGTGCTGTTGGGGCTAAAGTCTCACCACATACACCTGGACCACTAAAGAGTGGTCATTTGCCCTTCAGCTTGTTTTCCCTGGATAAATTTATTTATTTTATTAAATTTGTTGTGGCCGCCCACTCCAGTAGACTCATCTTCATTTAGGTCCCCAAATAAAAGTAGCAGGAGAAAGTTCTTTCCTCCTTCATCCTGTCTTTGAGAAGCTGCTGCTTCAAACTGAAATATGAAGTCCCACAAAAGCCCATCTGTGATGGGAACCCTGGAATGAATGGGTTTTCCCAGGGACAACTCCTCAAAGGAGAAAAAGACAGCCTGATCTGAGCCTGATTTGAAACCAAAGTCTAAAACAAATTATGCTTTTCTAGTGCTTGCTTCTCTTTTTATGGCTAGTGTTATGAAGCCTGCAATGTTATTTCCAGACCTGATCCCAGATATCATCACTACAATCTCTATATTCATAGGATGTTTTTTCCCCAGTCCACAGTATTAATGAACCACAGATCAACCATTTTAAATCGTTTTGTATCAGAGGCTGTTACGGGTTAATATCACTGGTAATATTTATGTCCTATTTAATAGATCCTGTACATTAAATATATTCTTGCCCTTGAAGTTATTATTTTCACATTGGTGGTATAAAAATACTATTTCATTAATCAGATCAGTTGTTATCAGTATTACAATGACATTACATTAACATTGCAATTATTTAACAAGTTCTCCAAAGTTGGCCTTTTCCTTTTTAGAACCCAGCTTTGTCAGAACACTTAAAATTCAACATTTGCCTCCACTTGAACAACATTTGTTTCAGTATTTTTCCTTGCTAATTTGGCCTTGTTTTGAGGATCACCTCAAAGCACACTGCTTACCACAAGCAGAAAGATGGGCATTGAAGACCATAGTTTAATCATCCCTGGCAGGAGGTATATTTTGGAAGCAGCAGTACTTCTTGTCAAGACCATATGGATCCTTATTCATTCCACTGAGCATTTTTTTTTTCATTTTCAGAGTTAACCCCTGAAGAAAAAGCACAGAAGATTGCCAAAGCTATGCGCAAGCAGTCAGTGGAAGTGAAAGAGAAGTGGGAAAGCCTGAATACCTGTGCCAGCAGTTGGCAAAAACAGATAGATCAAGCACTAGAGAAACTGAAGGACCTGCAGTGTTCTATGGATGACCTGGATGCAGACTTGAGAGAAGCAGAGAATGTGCGAAACAATTGGAAACCTATAGGAGACAGGCTGATGGCCTCATTGCAGGATGAAGTTGATAAGACAACTGTAAGCCCCAGTGCCTGCTTAAGTGCATTGCCAGCTGATATTTAGATGCTGGCTATGGAAACTGTGCAGTGGTATTCGGGTAGTCATAATCCAGTGCTCAGTTAAAGAAAAAACCCTTACCAGTGAAATAGCTGTATTATCCCTGCTTCATAGGTTCCATTGGGAATATGTAAACATTTCATTAAAATTATTTTATTTCTAGAGCAGTAAAATGACAGGAAGAGGGAGAAGATTGTAATAATGTATGTAATGAGAGCAACGTAACTGGAGGAAGACAGAGAAGACTCTGAGGAACACAGAAGCTCTCTCTATGCCCTGAATATTAGGCACCCTAACCATGAGGGTTAATTAATTAAGTGCCATCAAGTCAAGCTGGACTCCTTGGGACTGCAGATACCAGTCCCCTGTCATTTCCACCAGTCCACAGTAATAGCCATGGTGATGGGGGTGTTACAAATGTGTGTTATTTGTGAAGGGATATTCTAATTATGCAGCCCTGATCTATGATTGCATTGTTTTAATTGGATGGCTGAAATTCTTCTTAAAATATATGTTTTCCCTCTCTTCTTTTTCTTTTGAAGGGAAAGGTTGACTGTAAGTGCAATTATAAGCCATAATATTCACATGATTATCTGGCTGTGAAACAAAATAAATCTATGCCCCTTAATGCCTTTGAATTCCCAGTACTTTCTACCATGTGATCATGGGCTCTTATAGACCATTCTGCCACAAGTCTAGGAATTCCAGACTATAACAACCAATAGCAGAGAACCTAAGGATTTATGTTGTTCTGAAGTCAATGAGTATTTTAGCATTGGACCTAGACACCTGTTGCCAGTATATCCATAGATTGTCTAGAAAATAATAAATTAGACTATTTACGAGTAATGGAGCATTACACATAAACATACAACACCCTGCCTGAGGTTTGTTCTTGCTTTCAAATAAAGATTAAGCTAAATTCGATGAAACCTGATATTTGTAACCTCAGAAGTAGATCAAGGCTGATTTAAATATGTTGATTTAAGCATGAAGTATCCACCTTTCCCTTTTCTCATTTTAATAAAAACATAAAACTTTTGTATACTAGTGGGAATATTTCTTGTTTTTTCTGCCTGCAAGAGGTAATTGTTCATATCTTAATGGTATTTGCATAAAGAACTGTAAAGGGAAACTTAATATGTTTTCCATTTGTGTTCCAACTTAATCCTCTGAGGATTATTTCAGTCTATTGGATGAGCTGGTAATTCTTGGGGAAAATAGTGTGAAGTTGGAAAATTCTATCAATTTTGTGAAATTATCTGGCTTTCAGCAGACTTTTTCATTTTTATGTTTTATTGATGCAGTATAAAGGTAATGGAGTCCCAAATTAAAGAGTTCTAACGCTTATTAGTGAATTTGAAGATCCGTTTGTTAATTTTTGTTTCTTTTTCCTTCTTATTTCCACTATTTATTTAATGGCTTTTTGTTCCCTGGTAAACCATGCCAATATTATGCATTACTAGCAAATTCACAGCCTTGTTTATACTTACAGTATTTAAGGAAAATCAGGTGTGAGAGAGAAAGAATGTGAATGGAGGGTATTTACATACATTGTATAGAGATTATGACTTTACTCTTCAAGACTTTTGTTAAAAGCAGATGTGTATTCCCTATTCTAGGCATTTAGAGAAGAAATTTCACCAATCAACTTGAAAATCAAATGCATCAATGACTTATCCAGTCAGCTCTCCCCACTTGACCTTCATCCATCCTTGAAAATATCACGACAGCTCGATGATCTCAATATGCGATGGAAACTTTTACAGGTAACTTTTGTTGGCTAAGAATTAGGAAGAACCATGAAACTGTCACTGATTCCACATTATCCCTGAAATCAGAGAGAACATCCTCTGTGACAATATTATTGAAAAATGACACAAATTACAACCTTTTCACAGTGATGTCATTACACAAATGACATAAAATGATGTAAATACAACATAATTTCATCTGATAATATTTGCTAAATTGAGGCTTCATTGAACGTCCAAATGATTCAACATATGATTTGTGTAGAGAGTAAGGAATATTACCTTGATGGAGATATGCAGTTTCTCTTGTCAAGGCTACAATGGCTAAATCATTTCTTAAGTCCAGAATGTCCAGATAATGTTTAGAAGCAGCTCAGACAGACATTTCCCTAATTCACTGAACTATAAGAAGGAGGAGGAGGTACACCAAAATCAGACTTGCAAGATTATAGCCAATCTCAATAAATTATTATAGCCAATCTCAATAAAAGTAGTTTTAGCCTTCTTGTGGAGTTGATTTCATGGTCTGGTCTACCTGGTCTACCTGGTGGGGCTGACACAGTCTTTAATATGGGAGCCCCCAACTTCTTAGATATGTAGATAATCTGCCTAAACAATATAGGACCCAGAGGCATTATTCCAGATACACATAATGCTTGAGGCTGGTCTTTTCTTTTGTATTGTTTGTTTGTTAAATTTAGACCCTCCCTTTTCTTCAGCAGCTCAAGACACTCCCATCTCCATTTTTTCCCACAATAACCACCCTGTAAAGTAGGTTGGGCTAAGAGAAAGTCAATGGCCCAAACTGACCTAGTGAGCTTCTATAGCTAAGGATGGACTTAAATCTGAGCTCCCTGGTGTCAGTGCAACATCTTAAGCACTGGTTCTGAAATATTGTACTACTATTATGCTAATATTTCATTAAAATAGTCTTTAAAAACATCTGAGGAACCTATTAGGTGCCATGGAAAATATTTTGGGGCTCATTAGAGCCCAAGGAGCTCTTTAGTTAGGAAAGAACTGATAGAGTTGTTTACAATGAATTATGACGAAGACAGTCCTTGTTCGAGGCTGACAATCTGAGACATAACTTCGAAGGAAATAGAGGTATGGAAGGGGGAAAAAACCCAAGGAAACTAAAAATACTTAATTTTACACTGACCTCATATAACTAGCTGAAACACTCTCATGTAGACAGAGGCTACTTATTGATGGACTTAAGATAATAGATAATGGTATAGAATTAACATGCAGTGAAAAAACCCTCTTTCCTTTGTTGCTTAGGATGTTCTCTTTTCTGTGGTCTACAATAATACAACTTACACAAGGAACAGAATTAATGTACATGTTTTGGTTTGTATAGTAGCATATGTTCTACAGATGTATGAACTCAAAGTATTTCCATAAATCTAAAGTCTTGAACGATTGATTAAACACTTTTGTAAGTGGCCATCATGAAAAGATATTGGAACTGTTTACAAAACATTTTATTTCATTAATCTCCTTATTTTACTAAATCCAAAAGCAGTTCAATTTACATTTATTTTAAAAAATAATATATAAAATATATGAAAAATAAAAACAAATACCAATCAATAGCACTAAATAGCAATATAACTGTATTACTATTATATAAAAACTATGTAGTTTTTTATTTAAAAAAAGCCTTGTCTGTTATGTAAGAAAAAGCTATATGATGAAGAGGAAAAATATTTTTTTAAACCCCATACTAAACTATTTAGAGAATAAAAAATAAAGAGAAAAAATGCTCCTAAGAAATAGGAAAAATGAAAAACAAAATAAAAACAAAAACCACTATAGACTAAACTATGAAAAGTTTGAAAGTAGGAGGAATTTCTCCTTGTCTTTGACATACTCAATTTGCAAAGTATAGATGTACTCTGTTGTGAAACAATCCTGTGTAATGAATTAACATTTCTAAAACATATGTTCTCTTCCATTTCAGTCTAATTTTGCATTTGAAACATTTGGTATGCCTTTCAGAGATTTGACTGAGTAGTTGTGCACCCATTTATATGTTCATACAGTTTAATTAGCAAACCAGGCGGATGTCGACCCATAAAGTCAATCAGTAACCAGCATGTTCTAGTGTGGTTCCTTGTAGAGATCAATACAATCAAAATGAGGCATGTTGACTGCAGACACATAGACAAGGGAAGAAGTGAAAATTTCAGTAGACAGTATTAGGCACTAAGAAGGCCTCTATTTGTTATTGATTTGCACTGCTTAAAGAAGCATCATTACTAGCTTCTATTTAAACATTACAAACAGAAGCAGATTTGGAGGGCGGAGCTGGCGTCGCGGCGATACGGCGGGCGGTCC